GCGAGCGCGCGCGTCGGAATTCAGTATTGCGCGCGCGTCGGGGTTCTGTATTGTCCACAATAAAAGGTTACATATAATGCCACAGGCTGAATTCAAACTTTTTGCTGTTCCCTAAAAGGGGCGCGTTGGCCTATTGTGGACAATACAGACCTCCGACGCGCGCGCGCGCGCGCGTTAATGAGTTTGTCCACAAGAAAAGCCGACATACAATTCCAAAAATGAATTCAAAAATTATGTTGCGTTTTAAAGAGACGGGCGCGTCGACTTTTCCAATGTGCATGGACAATACAGAGCTCCGACGCGCGCGAGTTGAGAGTTCTAAGATATTGTCCGCAACATGTGATTCCTCTAACTGAATTCAACATTTCTGTATGTCTTTAAAGAGTCTTGGTTTAAGTGACTTTCCAACTCTCATGGCTCGTGGCTCATGGTGCCATTGTGGTTTTTGTGGTTTCATCGAAGAGCACGCATGGTGGGCATCTCCCAAGATACATCGTAGCTTCCCGCAGCGGAACCCATAAATTCCCAAATGGGACACATAGATTCCTGCAGGTGTACCCATAGACCCCCGATGCAGAAACCATTATATAGTTCCCGACGGGAACCCAACTCCCGCTCGTGAACCATATAATCTTTCCGCAAGGGAACCCGTATATTCCCAGAGAAGCCTTAGATTCTTGCAGGGGGCGCCATAAATTCCCGCATGGAAACTCATGGACACCCAATATACACCCCCGAAAGTCCGAAGGGAGCCCATAAGTTCCAAGCCCTTGCCCTTGTCCTTCTCCTCCTCCCCTGCTGGCATCATATTTTTCGTCATTGCCCTCCTCCTTCTCCTCTTCACCCAATGTCAACCCCTGTTGCGGCCATGTGGTGATGCGCGTGACGCGCCAGGACCCATGCGCAAGGTCCAAGCGCGCCAGTCTATCGGCATCGAACGCCCAACCGCGTACAACAAGGCAAAATTCCCCGCGCGCGTGGACGCGCGCACTAAAATGAACCCTCAACGGTGACCGAACGGATTTCGGGTGACCCGCGATCGCGGGTGACCCCCGCGCTCGCGCGGGGAGTTCTGTATTGTCCACAATGCAGAAGCCGACGTGTACTTCCAAGAACTGAACTCAAAACATCTGTGTCCCTTTAAAGAGGCCAGCGGGGCGTGCAGGCTTTGCTTATTGCGCGGGTCTTTGCACCTGCGGCCACACATAGAAACGTCGTCGTCGGTCGGCACGTCGGTCGGTCGGTCGTCGTCGTCGTAGTCGTTGTCGTCGGTTGCCGTCGGCGCGGGTCGAATGCACAAGCGGTGGAGGGGGGATAAGGGGGGGGGGGGGGTGCTGTGGGGCGATGCGGGGTGCGAGGGGCGGAGGGGGGAGGGGAGGGGAAGGGCGGGGAGGAGGGGAGAGGGGTGTGGGTGTGGTGTGGGGGTGGGGAGGGGGGGGGGGGGGGCGACAGCGCCGATTACGTTGAATGGCAGCGTTGTGTCTGATCGATCGGGGCGCTGATCGGGCGATGCCTCATCCCTCATGAACCATGAGGGACTTATCTAATCACCCTTACCGTCCTCCACCACTGCAAATTTTGGGCAATGGTAACCAGTACACACAATATATATATATATATATATGTTCTGGCGCATCTTGTGGATTCGGCGCAATACAGAACTCCCCGCGCGCGCGCAAGGGGAGGAACGGGGATGGGGGGGGAGCCAGAGTGTTCGGCGTTGGCCGCATCCAGCCCACCAGACCAAGATGACCTTCAAATGGCTTAAGATAGCCCAAACACCCGAACGCACGGTGAGAGGGGCAATGCATGTGGTGCGGTTTATGTGCATGGTGCAGCCACTGTCAGCCATCGTGGGCCCCAAGCAGCTTATGTAGTGCACTCTCTGTGGTGCAGTCTATGTGGTGCAATATATGCGGTATGTGGTGCAGTCTATGCGGTGCAGTCTATGTCGGCCGTACTGGCCCCAAATGGTGCACTCTATGTGGTCTAGGATGTATGTGTTTGGCTCGTTTAGTTGGCTGGTCCGTGTATGAATGTAAATATATGTTAATATTTCACACGCCAAGGCTGGTCGCCGCGGCTCCGCGTCTGGACGCGGCTCGAAGCGTAGTTGCCGAGAGCCGAGAGGGGGGTGGGAAACATGAAACGGCGCGAAGATACGCGTCGCGAAGATAAATAAGCGCAAATATTTGGGGCACGAGTGCCGAATGCCACGGCGCGAAGATAAGCACGGCACGAGTGCCGAATACCACGGCACGAGTGCCAGACACGGCAAGCGAAGATAAGCGGCGCGAAGATACGATGCTTAATTACAATTACAATTATTAAACCGATGCCGCTTTGGCCCAAATGTACTTGACCGCGCGGTCGAGGTCCTTCAAGGAATGCGGGCGTGAGAGGGCGGCATGGCCGCCCATCGTGGCCGCCGACGCCGCGGCGGCCATGGCAAGGGCCGCGGCGGCGTGACGCCGACTGTGAAACGCCGACAGTGCAGGGCGCGGGCGAGCCAGAGAAAGAAAGCGGCACTCTCGGAGCTCTCGGCGCTACTTGCAGAAGCGTTGCCAGCCCCGTGCTCGGGAGAATCTTGCAGGAACGTTGGCAGCGTTGCCATCTCCGAGCTCTCGGCGTCCGACTCGGTCTGGTGCGCCAGGTCTGTGTCACCTTGCTCGCCGCGCCCGAGGGCCAGGGCGCCGCGCCCCACCGCAGCGCAGCGCGGCGCTCCACCGCGGCGCGGGGCACGCCGCTCGAGGTCAAGGACGCCGCGCTCCGCCGTCGCGATCGGGGCCCAGGACACCGAGGCATGCGAGCTCGCCCTCGAGCGCATGGAGGAGATGGATCTGCGGATGCGCGAGATGCAGCTGCGCAGGGCAGCGCTGGAGGAGAGGATGGACGCACTGGAGGACCAGCTCCAGCAGGCGAGGGCAATGCTGGGCGCGATGTGGCATGAGCGACAGGACGCACTAGACACGCACGACGCCACCGAGGCCAGAGCCGTCGATGTCGCCATAGAGGCATGCGAGGACTCGGTCATAGATCGCACCAGGCGACTGATTATGGCAGAGGTGCACTACAACGCCGTGGAGCGTATGATTCGGTATCGTACTCAGCATTCTCAGCCGACCGCGGTCGATGGCCCTGGCGACAGCGCCGCCTGGCAGTGAGGGGCGCCCAGTTTAGAGCGCATGTGTTCTTAGATTCCTTTTCAGGCGTTCACGCGCCAGGACTGGTCGCCGCGGGCCGCGGCTCCGCGTCTGGACGCGGTCCGAAAAAAGGAACAACAACAAACAATAGTGTTAAGCAAGTGTTCAAATATAAGACAGTCAAATGCCAGGCAAGATAACTGGCGGTGCGTAGCGCGCGCGCCGCTGCTCGCAAGTGCAAGCATTGCTTGGGTTAGGCACGAGCGCGCGCGCTCTCTGAACCCAACCGTGCGCGATAAGGAAGCGCGAAGATAGGAAGATAAGGAAGCGCGAAGATAAGAAGCGCGATGGTAAGAATCGCACAGATAAGGCAGCGCGAAGATAAGGAAGCGCGAAGATAAGAAGCGCGATGGTAAGAATCGCACAGATAAGCAATGCAAATATAAGATGCGCAAAGATGCTGGCCGTTGCGGTTCAGGTTGGCAGCATGGGGTCCAAGAACGCCCCCATCACGCCGCCATTGCACCGCCGTCCCTCGCCGAGCGCGCAGCCGCAGTCGCAGCTGCGGCGGTCCGCTCGGCGAGCGGCCGCGGCGCAGCCGCAGCGCAACCGCAGTCGCAGTCGCAGCCGCGTTCCGCGGCCGCGGCGCAGCCGCAGCCGCTGTCGCAGCCGCAGTCGCAGCCGCGCTCCGCGGCCGCGGCGCAGCCGCAGCCGCCCGCGGCGGCGATCGCCATGCCTCGAGAAGGCAGGCCCGCAGTCTTGCCGTCGCAAGCCCCGAGGAGCTATGCCCGCAGCCTCGGGTCGCAGCCGCAGTCGCTGCCCGCAGCCTTGCCGTCGCAGGTCTCGAAGAGAAAAGCCCGCATCCTCGAATCGCAGCCGCAGTCGCAGCCCGCGGCCTTACCGCCGTCGGCGAGGAGGCAAGAAACATCGTCGCGGCGTGCACAGAGCTTACGGCTTCATTATGGACCCATGGATCCAAACGTAGGATCGGCCGCTGCAGCGGGAGATGATATCCGACCAGGGCTTACAAGAGGTGAACCCCGCGGACGGGCCCGATGACGAGATCTGGATGGACTCCGAGGACTGGTCCTTTGACGAGATCAAGGGCTAGATCATTGGCGCGCGAACGCCGACTTTGCTGTGACTGGCAACTGCCGATGTTGACTCGCAACTGCCACTCTGCTCTGTTGTGACGCCGCTCGAGGGCTATACCATCGGCGCAAACGCCGCCTCTGCTAGGACTGCAGATGGAGGGGTGATTGCGATGCTCGCGGGGGCTGGCCTGACCGCGCTTATCATATTAGCTGCAGCGCCCGCGCTGGTGGTTTGAGCCAATAGTGCATACAGTACACTATAAGTTTTAAGTACATTGTATATGGATGGCGGCTCCTCATCACAGCGGAAATCCGAATGCCACGCGCATGAGGTGCGTGTCTTGCAGTCAGGGGAGTGGAACACGACTCTTGCTGCTTATATTGCTAATCACCGCTGGGGCCCCAGCAAGAGATCGCTGACGAAAAATCCGACCCATGTTCCTCGCTCCTCCAGCCCCCAATTCCAATTCCCAACGCCCATGCTCCCACCGCCATCGCTTGCCACCATTTCCCCTCCTTGTCTTTCCACCTACCACACCCAGACACTCCTTCTTGCCATCGCCTTCCGCCGCTTTATGCGGCGCGCGCGCCACGTAGCGAACGCACGCGTGCGGGGGCTGGAAAGCGATGATCGCTGCGAAATTTGGAAAGGGTTGACATATCCCACAAGCCCTCTGGGCGTAGGTGGTTTAGGGAGTTTCCTCTTCCAACCTCCTTCTTCCCCTTCGGGGAGGGGTTTACCCCTCCCCCCTTACCCTCTCCCATGGACCTGGACAGGGCGCCCCGCGAGGTGTCAGAGGGTAGTTCGCCAAAGACGGCTCCAAGAGCGCCTCGGAGAGCCTATAAGATGAGCTCCAAGATGGCCCAAGATAGCCGAAGATGCCTCAATATGGCTCCGAAGATGCTCCAAGAGGTCCCAAGACCGCCCCAAAGCTCCAAGAGGCCCCCCAAGATGCCAAAATCTTTCAAACACCTTCGGAAAACCAATGATGTTCTGCTTCTCGCCTTTTCGCTTCCGATGGCCATCCGAGGCTTCAAGATGGCCCCAAAATGGCCCAAAAGGGACACAAGAGGGGCCCAAGAGAGCCCCAAGACGGCCCCAAGAGCGCCCAAGAGCGCTCCAAGAGCGCCCCAAGAGGGGTCCAAGAGGCGATTCTGGGGGCTCTAAAGGGGCAAGGCTAATTAAGGGGCCCCTCTTCTTTGATCGATCTCCTTCAAGATTGCCCCAAGAGGCGCCCAGAGGCTTCCAGAGGCGCAAAGATTGCCCCCAAGATGGCCCCAATAGGCTCTCATAAGATGCTCCCAAAGAGGGCCCCAAGAGGACCCACCCCCCCCCCCCCCCCCCCCCCCCCCCCCCCCCCCCCCCCCCCCCGAGGCACCCAAGACGCCCGAGAGACCCCCAGGACCGCCAGGAGACGCCCAAGAGGCCTCCAAGAAGCGCCCAAGAGATATCCCAAGAGGCTCCGGCAGGCATCCAAGAGACCTTTGGCCATTTTGCTCGCCCTCCTCCTCCTCCTGCTCATCCGTCTTCCGTCATCCGTCCTCCTCCTTCTCCTCATCCTCCTTCTCTTCCTCCTCCTCCTATTCATTTTCCTTCTCCCCGCTCCCTCATCCATCCATCCAGCATCCTCCGTCTCCTCCTTCCTCCTTCGCACGGTTCGGCTGCCCCCCTCCTTGCTCCCGCATTTCCCTGATCACCTCAACTCGCCTGGGCGTTGTTTCTGGATGGGCGGACGGTGATGCGCGAAGCGTCTAGACTTTTGCAACAGCACCGATTGGACATGCAACGAAATCTGTTTGTCCTACCCGTCCCCCCTCGGCGACACTGCATTGCTGCATCCGCCAATGCCTATGCTAGGATAGACTGCTGTGCGCACGCGCATCACAACGCTCACTCCTGCGACTCCAACTGCGGGATATCGCCGCCGCCATCGTCGTCATCGGCGTTGCCGTCGTAGACCGTCCAACCACGTTTGAGAATATCGCCCGTAAGGGTCTCAATCGCTGTCTCAATGTCGGCGAGTTCCATGGTTTTTGGTTTTTGGTACTGCAAGTGCTTGCGCCCGTCTGCATCCTTGCACTGCAGGAATATAGACTTCCTGCGATAATCGAACTTCGCCTCTGGCGTGGGCAATTCAATGCGATCCTCTGGGCGCTTGCGCTTGGGCGGCTTCACAGGCGTTGGCTGCAAGGCCGACGCCGTCGCCACCTTCTGGAGCCAAGTGAGATTCTCCACGGTCAGCTCAACACATGGCACCCTCAATGGCATGAGCTCCACGGTCATCTTCATATTGAAGGTCGCGCCCTCGTTGCAAGTCAAAGCCACGCTGGTAACATAGGGCAAGTCGTCGGGATTCACCGCCATCCTGTTGAAGCCATCTGGGAGAGCGGGTGGCTTCTCGCACGGGTTGCACGCATGCAAGTGGGCAAGTAAGACCTCGTCCACGCGCGTGTTCCTCGCCTTGCGCAAATCCTCCAGGATGCAGCTCTTGCTCCAGTACTTGGCCTTGCCCTCGTGGGATAGGCCGAGTAAGACAGCGAGAGGTCTATCTGTCTGCCTGAGCTCGACGTACGTAGCTCCATCGATCGTCTTGGTGTACTGGGGCACCCACGTGCGGACGTGCTTCATGTCCGCGGCATGATATTGGACCACGGGCTTCGCCTCGATCGTGAACGACATCGGCGCGCGTGAAAACAGCCGCGCGAACCCCCCGCGGCGGCCGAGCGCAACCTCGCTTGATCACTGACGGCTTGTCACTGCAATCGAGCCCGCGCCCAGCCGCAGCGACGAGGCTTGGACCAGCGCTGCCGCTGCCCCCTCCCCCATCCCCCTCTCCCCGCGCGAGCGCATGCGAGCTGTTTTTGTTTCTCCTGCAAGCGCTGAAAGAGAAGAATACGCCATGTGTCCAGAGGACGCCGTGTGTCCTGCAAGCGCTAAAGGAAATCCGCAATAATAATACCATTGTCTCCTTAATCGGCGTGCCGCCCCACCGACCTGAGATCGCGGCACAAGTGTCTAATAAGCTCGGCTCCGCGAGCCACGACTACTGCGTGCGGACCCTCTTCATCGGCGGCGCCTTCGCCGCCTGCGGCTTCAGTGCACGAAGCTGGTCACCCTTTTTGATGGGTTTGGTGTTTTCCAGGAACGGTATTTTCAATGTAAACTTCTCCGCGCCGACCGAGGCGTCAACGGTGTGAAGCTTGATGGCCATGTTAGACTTCTTGGGGTCGGTCACCTCTTTGTCAATGAGCCAGTAGTGCGGCATGAACCCTTCTATCTTCGCCATCTTGTAGCTGCCGCGCGTGTTGTCCGCGATGCCGCCTGGATCATGCTTCTGCAGCTTCATGAAGATGTAAAGCTTCTGCGCGACGCCGTCCGCATTAGTGATCTCCGCGCCGACGTCGATGGCACCGTTTGGAGCTGTATCCGAGAAGGCAACTTTGGTCGAGAAGGGCGGGAAGATCGCGCTGGAGACATCGATGTCAACCTTGGCGTACACGCCGCGGTGCTCCGTGGGCTCCGTCACGATGTCGACCATCTCGCCCGCTGCCCCCTGTAGGTTACCCAATGCATCAAGCGCCGACGTCACGTGACCAACCAACACCATGCGCTGCCAGTCCGAGTTCGAGCGCGGGTCGCACCTGGCACTCCAATCGTTGATGTATTCCTGTTGGGATGGTGGGATGGGTTGCGGGGGTGGTGGGTTTGGGCGGGGCTGGGATGGGCGGTGGGGTTGGGGTAAAGGTGCGGGATGGAGAACAACAGGAAAAGAGCACGTGGGCTGCGGGTGTGTAAGACAACCAAGCTCCATTGCCAAAATCGTTGCCCCCTCCCCCACCCCCTCCCCCTATAGTATACACGCCGTGGAAGGGGGAGAGCGCGGCGTCCTTCTTCTGCTCGCGTTTTGTGATCACCTTGAACTCTTGTGCACGCGGGGTGAGTAGCGATTTCAGGAGGTATGCCGAATCGACTGTGTAGTCGCTCCCATCGCCGATGCTCTGCAGCTTGATCTCACCCTCCTTGACTTCCTGCACCTTGTATACAGTTTTCATCTTGATGACCTCGATGTGGCAATTGGCGCTCACGCCCATACTTGCCAATTTGTGCATCCTGTCGGCGATTCCGCCTACGCTCTGCACTTGTGCAGAAGCCGCAGCTTGCTGCGCGGGAGCTTTGGGCGGGGCTCCTTTCTTCGCCCACGGGGATGTGATCTGCGTGCCTGCAATGGTAGCCAGGTCTTGCACGTACTCGTAGCCGATGTGGTGAAGCGACTCGAACTTTTTGGCTCCTGGGGTCGGGCTTCTTCATGCAATGGTGCACGAGCCTCATGCCGAACCTGTTGATCAACGTCTTCACGGCCGCGTTGTCTTCTGACAGGTTGACAGTTTTTGCGATGTCTATAGCCATCGATTTCATGATGTCTGCCTGCGAGATCATGCGCTGCACTTCCTTGTTACTCGTGAGCTTAAGCCCGAAGTCACCCGATGCAAAGAGGTTCTGAAAGTCGCCCGATGCATACTTGCTGTCGGCGCTCATCATTGCCTTTACGCAATCAATGCGGAAGGGAATGCAGCCCAAACCATCCGAGCCGATCACTGCATCAGCCACCGCCGCCAAGACGGGGCCCTGCACAATGCGCGGCTTCTGGCACGAACGGTTGAAAGCCCGAAGCTCCTTCAAATTCGGTGCGTCTGGTCCACCAGCGAGCTTCCTCGCAAACGTCGCCAAACTCTGGATCTCTGAAACGAAATCTGGATTCCTGGATTGCGCTTTTGTTATTGCCCTACCCCACGCGACGTCGGGGTCCAAGATGTCGCCCTCCTTTTTATTGGCTTCGAAGTTGGCGACGATCTTCTGCACGTCCCCGTGCATCTTGAACAAGGTCTCCCACCTAGTCTCATTCATGGAAACCTTCTGCGCAGCATTTCCAGACTCCTGATTGAACGCGGCTAAAGCCAACATAAATGCGGGGGGGGGGCGGGGGCGGGGGCAATCGAAAAGTTAAAGGGTGGGCCATCGATTTCACAAACTTAAGCGGGTCCTGGAGCAAGTCTATAATGGCGCCGAATGCGTCTTCAGCCTGCCAGACAAGCACGTCCCATTCAAACCCCTCCTTCGCAGCATCTGCCAACGTGGGGCGCTTCAACCCGATCTTGTGGATGTCAAGCTTCCCGTCGGTACCGAACTCGACGTTATCTGAATCTGTAGGGCTGCCAAACTGAATGCAGCGGGTCGCCTGGGTCGTGTGCGACTTGCTCACGCTAAGGATTTTGATCTCGCCCTCGTCGTATGGCGGCAAGAAGCCGTGGGATTCCTTGACAAGGTCTCCGTTGAACTCGAGTGCCTCGGCGTGGCGCTCGTGAGATGGGGGTGGCATCTCGATGGCAAAGGGCACGCCCACCTCATCCATGCTGAACCCGTCGCTGCAAAAACTGCGCACCAGCGTGCGCACGTGGGATGGAATTATGCCATCGCCGTACCTGTTCCGCGGGTGCACGGCCACGTAGCGCCCATTCGTTTTCTGGCGCCTCAGCAGACCCTCCTTCCGCAACAATCGCACCGCCTGGTCGCGCAACTGGAGAATCGGGGGGCAATGGCTGCACGTATACTCCTTGATGATGTCGAAGATCTGCTCCTGGACGCGCTCCACGCGAGCCTGCATGGTCTCACCCGCCATGGCGTGGCCCAAGCCCAATGCGAGAAACGCAAGGCGGGGGCTGCGCTGAACGCAACTGAAGGGTGGCTGACACCTTTGTCTGGGCCAGCGGCAGCACAAATGCATGAAACAACTATTGATTTCGCAGCATGCCTCCCACGGCGCCCGCGCAATATTCCAGATCGGGCACCAAGGTTCTCTTAGGGTTTAGGGTTAACGACATTGGCGTCACAAGTGTTTTGGGCGTCCTGTTCAGCGCGCGCGCTGTTATATATATATATATTGATTGAAAATGCATGCCCATACATGGCGTTAGTTTGCGTAACTGCAGTTATGTGGCACTTACGCGCCACTTATGTGGCACTTACGCGCCACTTATGTGGCACTTACGCCACTTACATAAGTAGCTCGTAAGTAATTACGCTACTTATAAGTAGGCTGCCCTACTTATAAGTAGCTCCTAAGTAACTTAGCTACATATGAGCTACTTATACTACTTATGAGCTACTTACGAGCTACTTACACTACTTATCAGCTACTTACGAGCGACTTAGGAGCTACTTATAATTGGCGTAATTGCATAAGTACTTATAAGTACCCCCGCCGCGCGCAGTTCTGAATGCCCGGAGCAAATTGTAGGCCACTTCGTGCTCTTCGACTTCCCAGAACTCCATTCCCGGGCCACATTTTGAATGCCCGGAGCCAACTGTAGGCCACTTCGTGCTCTTCGAGTTCCCAGAACTCCATTCCCGGGCCACATTTTGAATGCCCGGAGCCAACTGTAGGCCACTTCGTGCTCTTCGAGTTCCCAGAACTCCATTCCCGGGCCACATTTTGAATGCCCGGAGCCAACTGTAGGCCACTTCGTGGTCTTCGAGTTCCCAGAAACTCCATCCCGGGCCAGATTTTGGGATGCCCGGAGCCAACTGTAGGCCACTTCGTGGTCTTCGAGTTCCCAGAACTCCATTCCTGGGCATGATTTTGAATGCCCGGAGCCAACTGTAGGCCACTTCGTGTCTTCGAGTTCCCAGAACTCCATTCCCTGGCCACATTTTGAATGCTGAGGCTGAGGCTGAGGCAGGCAGGCTGAGGCTGAGGCAGCCTGAGGATGAGGCTGATGCTGAGGCAGGCTGAGGCTGAGGCTGAGGCTGAGGCTGAGGCAGGCTGAGGCTGAGGCAGGCTGAGGCTGAGGCTGAAGCAGGCTGAGGCTGAGGCTGAGGCTGAGGCTGAGGCTGAGCAGGCTGAGGCTGAGGCAGGCTGAGGCTGAGGCTGAGGCAGGCTGAGGCTGAGGCTGTGTCTGTGACTGCCGTTGCCACTGCGACTGTCATCGCGAATGCGACTACGACTGCGAGAACAGCACAATTCTACAACTGGATTCTCATCTCAATCTTAAGGGGAATGCTTCCAGATATGCTCCTACACATCGCTGTTAGGTTGCTTTGCCGGGATAATTTGCACCTTTTTGGCCTGGGTCCCCTCCTGCCAGGGTCGCTTCTGGCCTGAAGTCGGGCCTGTCCCTCTACAGGGGGAATAGTCAGAACTATTCTAACAAATAGTCTGGGGACTCTGTTTTGACAATTTTTGCACATCTTTGGGGGCATTTTGGGGGGGTATGTTTATTCATCTTCCGTCGAACATCCATCGGCCTGTAGGGGGACAGGCCCGATCTCACTCATGCCATATCCTTCGGTCGCAAAGCATGGGAACCTCGTGTGCCCTCGTGCTTCTGTCTGTCGTCGTCTAGCGTCGGCTAGCGTCTAGGAGTCGATGAGATAGCGCCGATTTTGCGCTGGCTGGCGTCGACTAGCGTCGATCAAGCGTCGATTGACGCCGATTTCGCGTCGACGAGCGTCGATTCGCAAGAGCCGACAAGATGATATGGGAGGTCCCCATGAGTTGCCACCGAAGTATCCGCGGGTGAGGGGATGGGGGGGGCCGTGGGAGGGCTGGGTCGAACGCCAGGGGTGGGATTGGGAATGGGGAGCACCGTCGCCAAGCGCGTTTCTCGAGACAGGATCTCGGCCTCCAGCACCAAGAGACGCCGGGAAAGCCAGCTGCGTGCGGCTGATTCGCTAACCTTCCTCCCTTCTGGGGTCCCCCTCTGCCCCGAGAGGAGACTAACCGTTTCCCTCTAACGCGCTGGAACAGAAGAATCACGTACGCTTTTGTTCGCCGTTCTCAGCCCATGGGTCTTCGCCGGGCCTCGGGAGCTCGGGGCAAAGCGACTCGGGACGCGAAGCCGTCCCTGGGTAAGGGGTGGGGGGTTCCAGGGGGCCCCTGTGAAGAAGTCAGGACACCGGATCTCTGGGTCGGCAGGCAAGAGGGGTGGGGTGGGAGGAGGAGGAGGAGGAGGAGGAGGAGGAGGAGGAGGATGAGGAGGAGGAGAGGAGAGGAGAGGACGAGGAGGAGGAGGAGGAGGAGGGAGGAGGGAGGAGGGAGGAGGGAGGAGGGAGGAGGGAGGAAGCGGCCTCGAGGCCTGGATGGGATTTTGTTGCACCTTGCTCCCCCAAACAGGGAGGCGTCCTGCGTACCGCGTCCCTCCACGCCTGCGGCCCTGGGACATCCGTGGGCGCCCATCGTGCGCATCGCACGCATCATTGGCATCGACGGAGGCAAATCAGGGGGGTCAGCCAGTTCCCGTAATGGGAGTGGGTGGCAGTGGAGAAGCAGGGGGAAAAAGGTGATTGAAGGATGGAGAGGGAGGCGGGAGGGGGAGGAGCAGGAGCAGGAGCAAGAGCAGGAGGAAGAGGATGCAGGAGAAAGGGGGTACGACGGGGAAGTTTCACGATGACGAGGGGGAATGCGACGACAACATCAAACGTCAACTACTGTTGCCCTTCGCGGATCTTTCGCTATACGAGCCTCTTGGAGCCATCTCGGTGTTTTCTTGCGGCTGGGAGTCGTTGGGACTTGTTTGGGCTTTTTGGGGCCCTCTTGAGACCTATTGGGCCCTCTGGGGGTCGTCCTGGAGGCCATCGAAGAGAGCGGCGCTCATCTTGGACACGAAAGGTTCACCTTTGGATCCTCTTGGGGCCGCCGTCTGGGCCCATCCTGGGGCTCCAGGTGGGCCACCTTGGGACCATGTTTAGGCCTCTGAAGTCCATCCGACGGGCAGGGGGCGTCGGGCACGGCCAGGACGAGGACGAGGGCACGGCCAGCGCCTCTGGGGCGCTCTCAGAGCGGTTGGCGCTCCGAGGAGGCCGCGGCGCCCGAGGCGTCCTCCAGAGCCGGCCGCATCTCAGAGGGTTTTCGATCCATCCAGTCTTCCCGTGCCCATTTCGGGCGTCCAGACCGGTGTTGTCCTCGTCCTAGAGGGCTTCGGCTTCCTGTTCTGCCGCGGCCGCCTCCGGCGAGGGCCCCGGGGCCGCCCGCCATGTTTCGCCCCCGGGGTGGCGCGCCCCACGGCGCCCGCCTCGAGTTCTCGCGGGGCCTCTTGGGAGGAGTCGCCGTGCAGTGGAGGCCCATGCCAAGAAACACCCTGGTTGCCTCCAGGGTGCCCTGGCTTCCTTGGGCGTCCATGGTTCTGCGATGGGGAGCGTGGCATCCCCACACCACAATCAATGGACGTCCTGGGGTCTCATGTTTGGGCTTCTTGTGGAAGGTATCTTGTGGACTGGCCTCCACGGTATCTTCTTGTGGATGGTGTCCCCCGACTCCGAGAGCGCCCTCCGCAGGAGCTCGCGCGCCAGCGCTGGGCGGCCAGCCTGGTGGCCGCGGCGGCGGCGGGCAGTGCGCAGGCGCGCGCGCGCGCCCGCGGGGGGGGGGGGCCCAACCTCCCCCCGGAAGATCACACGGGTCAAGCTAAGGTCGTCGTCGTCGCAGGGCGACGAGGTCTGCGAAAGAGCGCTTTGTCAGCCGCTGCTGGCGGGGGGGGGGGGGCGGGGGCGGCCCAGCCGCCCCCTGGAAGCTCACGAAGGGGCCGCCTCCCGCCGAGGAGGCGAATGGCAGCTCCTTCGGCCCTCGAGGGCAGAGGGCCCCTTCCCGGAGCACCCCGGGGGCCTGTGGCGTCCGCCTCCTCCCCCGCGCCTCCGGCCCTCGAGGGCGAGGGCGAGGGGCCCTCGGCAGCTCCTTCAACCCTCGAGGGCCCTTCGGAGCACCCCTCCGGGGCCTCTGGCGCCCGCCTCCCCCGCGCCGCCGCCGGCCCCGCAGCGCCTCGCTGCTGCCGCTGCCCCCCCCCCGGCGTCGGCCACGCCGCGCGCCTGGGCCTGCTCTTAAGTTGGGCGTGTCCCCCTACAGGGGGATTTTCGACGAAAAATAGAAAAAATACACCAGAAATATTTAAAAAATCGTCAAAAATAGTCTGGGGACTATTTTGTGCGCATTTTTTATTATTTTTGAAAATTATGTTGAGTATTTTTTGAGTATTTTTTATTTTTCGTCTAAATATCCCCGTGTGGGAGGGGGACACGCCCGACTTCAGTCTTCTCTGAGGGGCCCCGGCTCCCGCCTCTCCCCCCCTCGCTTCACGTCGCCTCGGCCGTCGCCGTCCCCATGGCGGCGGAGCTCGCTCCACGCGTTGCCCCGCTCTGCTCCCCTCGCCCGCGCTGTCTCACTCTGCCCGGCCGCCGACGCAGAAGTGTCTCCGGCGCCCTGGTGGAGGGACAGGGCCGAGGGCCTGGGCCGGCCGGCCGGCCGCGCGAGAGAGGGTGGGCCGGGAGGCGAAGACAGGTCGCTCTGCACGAACTAAATGGGCACGGAAAGAATGGGTACAATGCCCAACAGCGGATCCGATTCATTTTGAACAGGACTCGCCCTCCACGCCGCCGCGGCCCATGTCCATTCGAGACAGAAGGCCGCCTGCCCAACAGCTGCCGCTGTTGGTTTGGGACAACATTTGTTGTTGGGCATTGTACCCATTCTTTCCGTACCCATTTCGGGCGTCCAAAGTCACGGGTCGCCCGTGCCGCCCGGCGGGCCCTGGATCGGTTCGGGGTGAAAAGGCTCAAGAGCGAAAGAAGGACGCACATGTGCATGAGTCCACGCTGGTTTCGAGAGTACGCATCGCGCGACTGCTTGTATCATGCGGCCGGTCTCGCGGATCGAGGGGCAACGTTCATGTACATGGTTGGGCGCGTACGTGCTTTGTGGGCTCCCTAAAGGCAGGAC